CACACGAGGTTGCTTGGAATCTACTTGGATCCGACTAGAGTAATTTGCACCCAGTATTTACTGATTCCACGTACCTCATCTATACTTAACATGTATGCAGCCCACTAAATCCCCAAAAGGATATTTATTATGTTTGTATGCACAATGTAATAATTATAAGTTAAATTGTATGTGGAGCGCACATTATATAATTACAACAGACATATTATCGTTAGGTTATTATACTGGTCGCACTAGATAATTAATTAGGGTATTGAGCGCAGTTAGCCTACGTGAACATGGATTGGCGAACACATCTCGTAAAATTCTTCAGTCTTGAAATATCTCACAACGCCATTCATATTCCGTTTTCCGGCTGTAACATCTTTTATCAGTTCAAGCCAGGTGGTTTTTAATCAGAGAATCTTGATGTCAAGTATACACAGACAGCGTTACACACCGATTAGACAGATTCAAGCCCTTTTCTGGTTTTGTTTAACCTCTTAAATAAACGATTTCAGTTTTAACGAGATACTGCTTCTGCACTTTCCGTTCATGGCAACTATTTCACAATCCTTTGGTTGCGAGACAGCTTAGCAGGCGAATTATAATTTTTGTGTATTATGCTTACAAGTAGTCTGTACTGGACATGCGATTATTTAGACTGTTCGGATTTAAAGATATTATAATAAAAAGTTTCAGTTCAGTTTTAAAGATAAGTAAAATACTGCCACAGACATAAATGAATACATCTTAACATTTCTTTACTGAAAATATCTGTCCATAATCTTCATATCCACAATCTTTTTAAAGCCACAAATAATTTGACAGTGGTATAAATTAACTTACATGTGCTACCTTAAATTAGGAACACATGAAAAAGGTATAGCATTGTGAAACATGTATTAGAATTACCTTGAGCATAGGTACACCACTATGCTCAACAACATCCATCCCTATTAAAATCTCATTACACAAGAGCTGAGAGATGTCATTTTCACGTCATACATATACGTCGGTGTGTACTGCATGACATTATAATATGCTAGCAGATCCGGAATACTGCGATATTTCATTCTGCTTTTGAGACGCTCCCATATCGTTCGCTGTCGTACTCCCCTTCATTAGACTTCTTCATGCGTTGTCTTATTTTTAATTGCTTGAGGCGGTTCTTGTCAACCTCCCTCTTTGCAAGAAGAAAACCTATTATCCCGGATGGCAGTCCGATCATCCTGAAAATGAAAAAAAAATAAAAAATCAGCTTACAATAAAACATATTAATCGACGTGCACGTTTCCAACTTTGGTATGTGAAACATCGCGTAACAGTATCAATACTATAAGAGATACAAAGATTAACTATTTCACAACTCTTACCAGGCATATCCAATTTTAACCATTGGGTTTTTGGCTTTCCTCTTTGGAATGTACTCAGGTTCTTCAGGTGGGATATTAAAGGATTCGTTCGTTTTCTGTGCATCCGTTTTGGCAGTCATTAGCGTGCTCCCCCAGCTCCACCGCAATGAGCGGCTGTGCTGCACACGATGCGCAGCCTCGACGCAAGGGGCATCCAGTGCTGTAAGCCGATGGCTCCATGGAAATCGGTTAGACAGTATACAAAACCCTTTAATAAAAAAAATAAAGCTATTACATTTATTTTTACATTGGATACGGAGATCGCCAATCATCATTTCAGTCATAACAGTCGTCACAACACGCAAAGAGGGTGGCATAAAGTGTGCCTCGATCGTAAACTGCTGCAGCCGTGATTCCTAAACGTGACAGTAATTCTACAGGCGATATGTTTAAAAAGAACTTGCATTTTATAATCGCATACGGCATGTTGTTTTAAAAAATGACCTCCAGCATTTGAAGGTGTTTAGCAACCTGTGAAATATATGCAGTTAAAGATGCAAACTCTGAACAGGGCCCTTTCATGACTATAGGGTAACCTGTCACGGTAATACACGGCACTAGGTTGAAACCTGATTACAAGTGTGATTAGTCTTTACCAGGTCAAGCTGCAAAAGAAAGTTTCCTACCCTTCTCGACTAACGATCTCGTATGTTTCCCATACAAGGCTGCCATGTTTAGTTACACTGACTTGCACTTGCGCATGTGCAAAAAAAAGACCATCGACACACCACGGAACGAGTCTTGCTGCGAGTCATAGCAGCGACATCTGGTGCATTGCAGACGTTATAGCAGGCATCAACACTGTCATTGAATTACAGTAAGATTTTGTAGAGTCTTACATGTATTAATTTAAGTCTCAAAATTGTGTGCATATTAAACTTATGCTTCGCAAATATATTTTCACTCGCATGGCACAGTATATGGGAAGTATATCAAACTAGGACTGGAGATTGTGTGAGATGCTTACTTCTGTAATGGGGAAATTGGAGTGATTTTGAGTGAACTGGGCAGGGGGAGTTCTGATTTCTGCTGCTTGTACCCGTGATCGCATTCTTTCAGTCACTATCCGAAGCTCGTGACCAAAGGCGAGCTTAGGGACATAGACTGAGCAGTCAATCTATAGCTTTGCCTTGTGGCTTACAGCAGTACAGCATCTGCTAACACAGCACCAATCCATCTGTCCATCTCCCACTCCCTTCTTCCCTCACATGTGAACAATGCTCCTATTTTAAATGTCACAAATAGGTAAAATATAAAATGTGGAGAAAAAAAGTACTATTTGCTCATATCGTTCAAGTTTATTCATTATGTTTTGAAGACACCTATATGAAGGTACAGTTAAATTCACCTAATAAAAGCATTAAGTTTTGTTCCCAAGATCACAAATAAAACATGAAGCTGTAATATTACATCTGGGGTAAAAACCATCAAAAAAGCTACAAAACTGAAGTTCTGTATATTAAAATAGCAACGCCATGCAGAAATTAAAAACATATTTACATAAACAAAACCTCAAAAAAAAAAAAAAAATCTTCACACCATCTGTCACATTTCAAACACATTGTCTTCCAGTCTTCAGTTTCAACAGTTATTTAACTCAAGAAGGCAGCCAAAGTTACCAGTCCTAGTTACTAGTCCTCAAGGGCGTAGTTGGGGTTCACGACCAGGACCGTTTCTTCTGCTTGCGACTCTGGGACAGCTGCTTCTGAGGAGCCCTTCAGTCCAGACTGGGCCAGTTCAATGAGAATGTGGTCCTGAAGAGGATCAAACGGTTATGCCGCAGTCAAAATGAGAATTAGCTAATAAAACATCTGCTGGTCTGGTCGCATGTTTGCTTACATAGTGAATCAGTCTGTGGATGACTTTTTCAATGATGGTCTTCTTGTTTATAAGCTCTTCTTCTGAGTCAATTTCAGACTCAATTTCCTTCAGGTACCAGTTTATCACCTCGCACTTCTTCAGAGCAGCTTCATTATCATCTGTCATAGGAGAGAAATTAAAAGAAAGAAAAAAAAATTATAAACTAAATTTGTCCGTCCCCACCCAAATGAAGAAATTGAATCTCCTTCAGACAAAAACTTTCAAAACTTACTAGGGCAGGAAAAAACAACAACAACAGATGTCAAGTCACCTTGCAGACGCATCCGCCT